ACACCTTTGCCAACCCAAATGCCATTGAACCCGAATTCAGAAATTTGTCGCGGACAATCTGTCCCCTTTTTGGGATCTCTTTCCCCGCTTCCGATATGTAAATGCATTCCAAGCCGCTTACCAACTTTATGTGCAAGTGTGTCACCCAGCGACCACCACGTGGAGGTTCGCCCGCACGGTCGCCAGTGAAAAAAGGGCTTTGACTGCCAAGGCGAGATGTAACCAACAGGAGTAATTAGTAGAATGCTTGGTATTCCTAGCTCAAGAATGATGACACCAATCATAGCAGTTGTGTATACCCAAATCCTTCAAACTGGGCCATGCCAGTATTGGACCTCAGACTCATTTGGGAACCTTGTCTGTTTTTGAAAGCTCCGAACCCAAAATGATTGCAAACGCCTTGTTGAGTGGCTCGTAGTACATCCCCAGAGCAAGGCTGCAATGCCCGTGGGAATTCATGAACGAGCGAGAAGGATTAGAGGGACATGTGTATTTGTATTGCACAGGGAGAGAATTCCTAAACCCTAAACCCTAAACCCTAAAGCCTAAAGCCTAAACCCTAAGCTGAATGCCCAGCCAAGGTGCAAGAGCTGGGCCGTGCAGATGTGTTGAAGCTCCTGGCTGCGGACAACAACATGATCTTCTCCACATGGTCTCAGTCCCATCTGCGAAAGATGGCGCAAGGTCTGTTCGGTCCATATAATGCTTTGTCGGCTAATTATGGTGATGGATACTAGTTGGAGAAGGAGTGGTGACGCAAAACGGTTGTAATTTACATTGTCTTAGCTATTGCTCTTCTCGTCGATCCTGCTGCCTTTACCGCCGCTGCCACTGCAGCTGCACTGCTACATCTGCTGCACAAGGCAGCTATATGATCAGTTGTGATGATGAATGAAAGCAATAGCAGAACAGCAGCATGTTCTTGCCAGGCCTAAGCGCGGGCAAAGAATTCAATCTCGAGAAGGCCCTTGAAGACCTTGCCAAGTTGATGGACGACGTGGCGCCCAAAAGCCGCAGCCTCAATGTTGTGAGATTGTGAGGGAAAGAGACGGCGAAGCGCAAGTCAAAAACGCGCAAGTCAAAAAGGATTGGGGGAGAGTCAAAGCCCACGCACAAGTTGAGGTCTAAGGTAGCGCGTCATGCAAAGTGGATGCGCTGCTCCTTGAACCTGAAGTCTTGAACTTTTTAAGCGAAGCATTGGAAGGATTCACGAAAGGACGCTAAGCTGTAAACCCTAAATTGCCCCTTTCACCCTTAAACTCAGACCGAAGCTCGGCTCAGTCTTGAAGGTTCAAAAGCTTCACGGGCCTGTTTACACCAGAGACCGTTTCTTGCTGCTCACACCATACTGCACGGGTGATAGAAATATTCACCTGGTGTATTTCAACCTTCTGCTCAACAACGCTACATTTCTCAGTAGCACAATGTCAAGATAAACGCTCCTTATTGCTCAACGCGGAATGAGGGAATACATAGCCGTGATGTTTTCGTGAACCCCGACCCTTCAGCGGAAGGCTTAAATAAGTGATTGGTGCGACTTGGAGCTAAACATTTCCTTGTCATTTTCCATGTGCCCTGTGCCCCCCTACCAACAGATCCCCGAGGCCTCTCAGCCCTTCACAAGCAGCTTCAGAAAGCGGGCCTGGAAGATCTCCGAGGCGATCTGGCAAAGGCCAAAAGGCCTGCCTCGGAGTGCTACACGTTTTTTCCAAAAAATCTGCGTCTAGTTTCGGAAGTTTGTATAAAAAAGAGTGCACTTGTCTTGGAGTATGCAATGAGGAAGTTTGGAAATACCCGTATGGTGTGATAAGTTTTTCTCGATTAGTAGGTCTCAGAGGTTTGCATGGACCCCCGGGACCACAACCAAAGAAGAAGTTAGGATGCTCAAGCGTGAATTTCCCGATTCCCCATCATCAACCGTATACCCGGATCCCGGTCATGCTATGAGCTATAGTCTAAACTCCTTAAAGGGGGTTACATTTACATAGGAGATCATATTGGGGAAGGTCCTGTGGTCTGGTTGTTTGGGTTTGGTGATTTTACATGGGAGGTTTAAACTAGATGTATATGTGTGGAGGCTTTATCATGCTTGTAAAGGGGTTCTGTAAGGTTTGACGAAGATTTACAGAGGGTCCGTGGATTTTAGTTCACGCGGTTTTCTCAGAGGGTTCTAGAGGGCTCCTGGAGGTGCTGTAGAGTTTTATACATGTCTTCTAGAGATAGAGGGTTTGGAAAGGTTTCATAAGGTTTTGTTTATAGAGGTTTCATAGCTTTTATGGCAAGTTCACGGGTTCATAGCTTTTATAGAAGTTGAGTGAAGTTCAAAAGTGTGCTGTAGGGGGTTAAAAGGGGCTTTGTAGAGTCCTTTTGGGTGTTTATAGAGGTACGCTCCCTCTTGGTCCTGTGGCCCCGTGGTCTGGGTTTTATGGCGAGGGTTTATGGAGGTTTTGAGAGGGGGTGTATCAACTCAAAGGATCCCCTATAATCTTGAAATGATCCACAGATAATCCCTATATATGCCTAGATGATCCTTTGTATCCCTAAGCCCTAAACCCTACAACGCTATGTTGGGTAACTGCCTGTCAGTGGCAGACACGAGGCGCAGCGATTTCTTGGACGCGATCCTGGGCTGCATGTTTCTATAGGTCCCTTGCAAGGGCCTGCATCAGCATTCACGGGGCCCGCCTCCCCCCTCCCCCCAAACGGTCCATGATATGAAGTATGCTTAACCTACCGCCGGTCAGGGCTTGGCGGTTTAATGTAGAGGTTTCGATTCATTAGCTCCATAGAGGCTTACAGGGCTTATAGGGGGCTTGTATAAGCTTGAAAGAGGATTTCATTAAATTCATAGCAGGCTTTTGAAAGGTTCAGAGATTTTCTGAAGGGGTTTCTAGAGGGTCAATGAATGTTTGAAAGAGTTTTATACTGGGCTTACAGAAACAGAGGGTTTCTCGAGGGCTTATAACTGCTCTATAGAGTTTACCGGGTTTCATAGCTTTTATAGACGGTTTTTCACAGAGTTCTCTGAGAGGGTTCGTAGGGGGTTTATAAAGGTTTCATAGAGTTTTATTGGGGGCTGAGAATGTCCTCCACACCCTTGGTCCTGCGGTCCTGGGGTAAGGGTTTATAAAGGGTTTGATAGAGGGTTTAGAGAGATGTTTTGGTCCCAGATGGGGACCATGCCATGGGGGGGGGGACAGAACGTGGAGCACGGACGCATATGCTGACGTATAGGGTTTTGAACTTGAGGCCCCAATTGCGCGGAGGAAATTGTGGAGACATGTTCTTCTCCCTTGAGGTAGCACGGAATGAAGGAACGCAAAAGAAAATGGAAATTACTGGGTTTTCGGTTAGGAGAAGAGAAAAGTCGACATTACCATATGATTGGGAGTGTTTGAAGACTACTATAAGGATCCATCCCATCCTTTTTGCATGCCCTAAGCTGTTCTGTCTTAGCCCTTCCAGCCCAAACCATTTCCACAAGCTACCGGTTCGCTTGCAAATCCTGTTCCGTATGTTTTAGGGTGCAGGATTTGTAAGCACGGGTCATGTGTTCATTGTTCATCCTAGCGGAGATTATGCAGGCTGGATACAAAAGGGTTTAGGGTTTAGGCTTATGTCCTGGACCCAAAAATCATATCCATAACGTTTTAAAGCAAATCCCACACACCAGGGAGAATCCAGAAGGTAGAGCCCATTTTTTGTAAATTTCTATAGAAATCCCGGAGCTGAACAGGGAAACCCTGCGCGTGTGTGCTCTTTTTCCATGGGCTTGCTGTCGAAATATGAGCTACAGTCTAAACTCCTGACAGGGGGTTATATAGGGGATTAATCCATGCTCTTGATTAATAAGGGCACCCTGCCCCGTCCCCCCCCTTATATCAATAGAAAAGCCTCATTATTTCAGGGGCCCCAGATGCCAGGAGGAGATTTCGATTGTAAATGACGTGCTCGGAACCCCGATGGGGTCCAAGCAAAATGTACATGACTTCAAGAAAAATCCATTTGAATCTTATTGAAATCAGACTTTATTTTTAGGGTTTGGGGATAATTTTCTTTAAGTCCAGAAGGTTTTCGGCCCAAAACCTGCCTCCGCGTTTAAAGTAGTCTTTGACCCCCCAATTTGGCCCGAAGAATTTTCTTGAAATCTAAGGGGTTCAATAAATCAAGAGCAGGGATTATATAGGAGACTACTGTTATTAAGGGGGATGCTAGGAGTTTCGACTATAACGACTGGGTTGGTTTTGGAGTAACAGATCAAGACAGCACCAACCTGCGCGAGTTTAAGCCTCCAAAAAAAAACCTTTAGCCTTATATGAGCCACAGTCTAAACTCCCTAAAGGGGGTTATGTAGGGGATTATATAGGGGACTACTATAGGGGTTATTAAGGGGGATACTAGGAGTTTAGACTCTAGCTCATATCAGAATATACCATAGTATACCAGAATATATTACAAGATACCATGATATATGTAAATCCTTTAGCCCTTCACCCTTGAACCAGCCAAACCTTAGACCTGCAACCCTACACCCTGGACTCCTAATGTTTGACAGAAACTCTAAACCCTCTTAAACCAGGATCCACTCAGATGCCAAGCGCTGCCTCAGAGCCTTGAGAGAGGGCAGCGACGCCAGTGGCTTCCTGCATGTAAATGCTGCATACATGTAGATATACAGATAGGGGTTGGGGGTTTAGGCTTCTAATATTGGAGGTCCAGGGTTTCTGGGCCAAAAATGGTTCAGGGATTGGGATTAGGACCTTAGGGTTTTGGGTTAGGGTTTGGTGTCACTCATTGGGCTTGATATGGACTTCCATCGGGCCCGGTCTTTAACTGCTTTAGGATCCCTGTAAGTGAGAGGTGGAGGGTTTGCGGCCGCGCACCCTAAACCCTAAACCCCCAACCCCAAACCCTGCATCCAGCAAGGTTCAGGGTCAAAGTGGGCTGGGGGCGGCGGGCTTGGAATGCTGGTTATGTTTGGGTTTCGAGGTGATTAGGGTACCGGAGGAGGGTCGAGTAGGGTTTGGGTTTCAGGGGATGAGAAGATCTACATTTTGGTTCGCCCAGGCCAGCGAAAATGTCAGGATCACCAAGGTCAGAACAGGAACGGTCAGAATCTTACTAGCAGCATCGAACCAAGACAAGCGCGCCAATCTAGATAAAGAGAGAACATTATAGGATTAGGGGTTAGCAATCGCGCAGAGAGTAGTCTGAGGAATTTTCAATTTCCCATACAGCCCAGGCGTCGAATCGGTTTCGGTGCCCCGGTATTGTTCAGACAGGGCTTCTTGTAGTCCCCAATAAAATCTCTTCTCCTTAAAGAAGAGCCCCCTACCCCCGCTGTTGCAAATTGCTGCCCATGGTGGTGTTATACTTGCCGAAAGGGAGCATTATGTATTCGAGAGAGGCCTGAGGGGTAGGGGGTTGGGTTATTGGGATTCTGGCCAAATTTGGTGGCTATCCTCACTCCCAAGTTCCGGGTAAGCGTCAGAGGACGCAGAGGAAGATTATACTTTCGGTGTGAATCAAGCTGAGATTCGAGCTTGCGTGCTTGTTAGGACTTCGCATAGCCACCCCCTACGTGAGGATATAGGGGGGGGGGAAAGTCGTAATGGGAAAATATGCTTCCTCCT